AAAAAAAAAAAAATGACTTGAAGTTCTCAGTCCATTTCCATGGCCGTTCGTTACTCGCTCGCCCCGAGTAACAAACCCGTCCGTTCATTCACCCCAACACTACAAGACACCAACAAAGGATACGAAGAAAGGAAAGGGGATGATGTTTGAAAAAAAAAGAACTGTGATAGAATTAGGTTGAAGTCAGGAAGAAAAAGTGAATAGGAAAGTGGTAGAGAGGAGTGCATATCTACAGGGTAGTACTTTGTTTCCTGAGTTGCCCACTCTGTTTTGTTCAATTAAAAGTCTTTAGTATCTACGGCAAACTTGAAATCCTGACTACCTCTTTTATTGTGAGCCTTGAAATGCAGAGAAACAGGCATAGATGATATCTAATTTACCATACAGCACTTGGTGGCTCAATTGCTGAATCTCTCACTAGTTTCTGTTGTCTGTAGGAAGAATGGCTGGTACAGTGGATAGTTGATATAATTATGCCTTTGATATCATTATGCTGTGCTCTGAAGGGAACTGATATTGATTTGTATTAAATCACAATGTTTGTTGTTCAAATTGTAATGTTTTTGAAACTCGCCAACTTTCTTCGTTTGTTCACATATTTATCAATTGAATTAATAAGGTACGTAATGTAATAAATTGTTAAATTGAATCTAATGTTTCTGTTTCCAGGTCAGAGTAATAATGCTGGGCTTTATGAGGTATAGTAAAGAAGTGCCTTTGTTCGTGTCATCCTCATTCTCATGATTCTCATCCATTTTTCTTGACATCACTACCAACTTAAAAAATCATTCTCAGTTGGTCTGCTATCAAGTATTTTAGCCATATTTTACCCTTATTTTTAGTTTTTACAAAACAGTGCCCTTTTCCTCTCTTGCTCTGTGAATTTGCTTTCAAAACAGTGCCCTTTCCCTCTCTTGCTTTATGAATTTGCTTTCAAAAGAGCATAGTGATATTTTGTAGTTTGTTTGTGTCTTGAACAAAAGCCAGAACATTGACTCCATCACTTCATTTATTTTTATGCTCCTGATTCTTTTACTCAATAGACTTTAGATGCCTTTGGTCAGTGGACTTTCCAAGGATTTTTGCCTTTACCATGATGGGTTGTCTGCTAATTCTTTTTAAAAAAATTTGTATAAATCTGTTTGTTTAGCACAGTAGGAATAAAAGTTTTTTTGTGTTGTTTTTATTTTTTTTTTAATTATAAAAACAAAGAAGCTGTTGATTTTTTTTCTTTCGGCCTGAGGAACTCTGGGCAAAGAAGCTTCTCGAAAAGCATAGCAAGAAGGGCAAACAAAGCCTGAAAGTAGGCATGAGGTAAAGTTTCAATGGAGAGGGTTGGGGGAGGGCGAACAGTGGACAAAGAAGCCTGTATATATTATATTATAATTGCAGCATTTCCTTTTATTGCAGCTCTTAGACTTTAAATGAAAAGTTAACAATCATACCATGAACAGCTGTAGAAAATTCCATCTCTGTATAAAGGCATACCTCAAGTCCCATTGATCTATTGTCTTGTACAACAATCTTTGATTTATGGCCGTAATAGTATTTTGCAGGGATGAGGCAGCATTCAGATAGCCATAAACAGATTGTTGTGATGGTACAGGTACTCATTTCAGAATAATCTAGGTTGAACTGGCAGTGAATGTTTCCATTGTATTTACACTTTGTTATTATTTTTCAGGAGGTTAAATTGTACAGAACTGCTAGAGAGAGAGAAAAGTAAGTTTACAGCAAGCAACGTGTCAATGTATTTCTTTTAAAAAATGCCACTCTTCTCTCCGTTGTTTGAGTTCTATTCCATCAGCATCATTTTGGTTAAACCACATTTATTTGAAGGGAGATTTTACAGCTGAAATGTAGAAAAGTTGAACTGGTCATTTATTGCGCAGCCACTCATAAACGTGCACATACGGTTGACTAATGAGAAATGTTATATGCCTCTTGATTATGTGCCAAATCATCTTCAGAGCATCATAATGTTCTCAAATTGTCTCATAAAGTGTCTAACCTTTTTGGTCATTCATTCTGTCATTTTTCAGTTTCATGTTTCGAAGACCCTTTACATTTTTAATCCATCTTCTCAAATGAAATTTCCTTTATTGACTTTACAGATATGACAACATGGCAGATCTGTATGCAGTCATCAATACTCTACAGAGCCTGGAAAAAGCCTACATTAGAGATGCTGTCTTAGCTAAAGAGTGTGTACTGAGTGTTCTGAGTGTTCTGAGTTTTGGTTCTAATAGTTGATTTTTAAAAAAATATTATAATTTGGGTTTTTTTAATTAATTTTTTAAAAACAACCATAATGACAGCTAAACACGTGCATGAGGGGGGAGGGTGGCAGCTGAAAGTTCCAATTTGGGTCAAAATTGTGGATTTTGAGATGCGGGTTGTTTTGGCTTCTTCAACCTCTTTTACAACTATTTCATCATATATGAGAAACCCCTACACCCTTATATTGTTACGTATTATTAGGCATTTCACCACCACCCCCACCAACAGGAGGAAGGAGTCCCCCAGGGGAGCATCCTTTCTCCTCTCCTATTCGAAATTAAAATAAATTCCATAGTGAAAACCCTCCAAAACAGCATAGACAGCTCGTTATACGTTGACATCTTCTTGATATGCTGCCGATCGAAAAATCCTCATTTGAGATCTATGGAAAGGCAGCTGCAAACGCAGCTGCACAAACTTGAAACGTGGGCAAACAACAACGGTTTCAAGTTCTCCCCGTCAAAGACGGTTGCAGTACACTTCTGCCAAACAGGCAGACGTGTGCTGCAGCCGGATTTGACACTATACGGGGAAAGGATTCCCGTCCAGGACCAAGCTCGTTTCCTCGGCGTCATTTTCGACAAAAAACTCACATTCATACCGCACATCAAAGACCTTCGTGTGAGGTGCCAGAAAGCGTTAATTGCTTTGAAAATTCTATCGAATCCGGAGTGGGGCGGGGACTCAAAACACCTTCTCCACCTGTACATCTCCCTTGTCCGGTCCAGGCTTGACTACGGCTGTCAAGTCTACGGATCGGCAAAACCACACGTCTTAAAAATACTAGATCCAATACAGAACCAAGGACTCCGCCTCGCTCTGGGGGCTTTCAGCACTTCTCCGGTGGAGAGCCTCCAGGCCGAGGCCAACATACCACCACTCTCACTCAGACGCACACAACTCTCACTACAATACGCAGTTAAACAGAGCTCAACACCGGAAAATCCAGAGCACAACAGCATTTTTAAAACAAATCCAGAAACCATAAACAAATTCCAAAACAACGAAAAACTCATCAAACCCTTCGGCCTCAGAATCCTTGAGGACCTCAAAAACTTAAACTTTTCCAAACAAGACATCCAACAAATTCTTTTCCCCGACCTCCCTCCTTGGCACCTTACCAAGGCAGAAGTAGACTTACAGCTGACCACACACAACAAAGAAAGCACAAACATCAAAACTTTTCAAGCAGAATACAAAAGACTAATAGATAAATACCCCGGTGCGGAGCTCATCTTCACAGATGGCTCCAAAAAAGACAATGAAGTGGGCGCCGCAGCCCTATCTTCCAACAGTACACACCAGAGGAGACTCCATACTGAAGCCTCCATTTTCTCTGCGGAGGCCACTGCCATTGACATGGCACTGGACTCCTTAGAAAACTCTCCTAACAAATCTTTCCTCATCCTTTCTGACTCTCTGTCTTGCATCACCTCACTCACAAACTACACACTCCTACATCCAAAAATAGTTAGGCTACAACAGAAAATTCATACACTATCCGAAACAGGAAAAAACATCATGTTCGCATGGATACCCAGCCATGTGGGCATCCGGGGAAACGAGCAGGTAGACGACCTGGCGAAGAAAGCTTCATCCCTTCTGCTGGGATCAACGACAAACACTCTCCCACAGACTGACTTTAGAAATAAAGTCAAAAAGTACACCTCCAGTCTGTGGGAGAGCCACTGGGAAAAGCAGAAAAATAATAAATTATATGAAATTAAACCCAAACTAGAACAACGAAATCCTTCGGACCTCTCCAGAAGAGACGAAGTCATTTTTACTCGATTGCGCATCGGACACATGGCCCTGACCCACAAATACCTCCTACAGGGAGATGAGAAGCAGTTCTGTGTCGGATGCGACACAGATTTCACCATTAGACACATTTTAACAGAATGTCTAGACTTTGTAGAGATCCGAAGGAAATATTATAAATGCAAGAAATTGCAGGATATTTTTTCCGTCGTTGTTCCCAGCAGAATTTTAAATTTTATAAAGGCCATTGGCCTTTATGGCGAGTTGTAGAGTGAATTTGATATTATTAAAATTTTTTATTGTTACTTAGGAGAGTTGTTTTAAATCACAAATGTATTTACACTTAATTTAAATATTTTAACTTTTTAACATTTTAAGTCAATTAGTTAACCAGTCGTGAAGTGAACTATTTGCAAAGGTGAACAACTTGTGTTTCGCGCGCTCATATGACCTTAGCAGTTGCGAGCGCCGTAAAACCTTATACTATACCTATACCTATTTCACCACCATATCCTCCTAAAGTCCTTCTTTTATTTCTTTATTGTCCATTTTCTCAAAACTCTGTTTTTCTTTCTATATATACAGCTGCCATTAGGAAAATGAAACAAGGAAAAGCCACAGGGCCAGATAATATTCCAGTTGAAGTGATTGTCGCGCTCGAACTAGGCACTGAAATAACAACAAAGCTCCTAAATGCTATTTATGACAGTGGTGAGATCCCAGAAGATATGATGAAGTCAGTTTTTATAGCTTTACCTAAAACACCAGGTGCCACTGAGTGTGATATGCATAGAACAATTAGCCTTATGAGTCATTTTACAAAAATATTGTTGCGAGTAATAATGGGAAGATTGAGAAGAAGTGTAAGACCAGAGATATCTAAAACACAATTCGGCTTTGTTCCTGACAAGGGCACCAGAAATGCTATATTCACTTTACAAATGTTAGTGGGAAAGATGTATTGAAGCACAGAAAGATCTGTATTTATGCTTCATAGATTATTCAAAGGCGTTCGATAAAGTTAGACATGATGAGCTATTTAAAATACTGGAAAAGCTAGACATAGATGGAAAAGATCTAAGAATTATCAGAAATTTGTACTGGGACCAAAACGCTGCTGTACGAATTAATGGAGAATACAGTGAATATAAGCAGATTAGGCGAGGAGTGAGGCAAGGATGTGTTATGTCACCAGACCTCTTTAACATGTACAGTGAAACAATCCTTAGAAACATAGAAGAATGTCCAGGCCTCAAAGTTAATGGAGAAAATATTAATAACATCAGGTATGCAGATGACACGGTTTTAATAGCAGGCTCCGAAAAGGACCTTCAAATGCTTCTAGATACTGTTGTAAAAGAAAATGAACATAAAGGATTATTGTTGAATGTAAAGAAAACAGAATGCATGGTAATATCCAAAAAAGCAGCAAATCCTAGTTGTAATCTCATTAGCGAAGGTGAAAAGATCAAACAAGTCCAACAGTTTAAATATCTAGGATATATGATAACATCTGATGCCAAATCTTCCGCAGAAATAAAAAGGAGAACTGCAATGGCTAAGGCTAGTTTCAATAAAATGAGCCCAATCCTGAAAAATAGAAACTTATCAATGAACACCAAAATGAAAGTCCTGAAATACTATGTTTGGTCAACCCTTCTATATGGCTGTGAATGCTGGACAATCATTAAAGACAGTGAAAATAAAATAGAGGCAACAGAAATGTGATTTCTTAGGAGACTGCTAAGAGTATCGTGGAAGGAAAAGAAATCAAATGAGGTAGTGCTTGATGAAGCCCACGTGGGACGCTCAATATCAAAAACAATCAGGAAACGACAAATGCAGTTTTTGGGACACCTGAATAGGGTCTTGAACATCTAGCTCTCACTGGCAAAATTGAGGGCAAGCGAGGCAGGGGTAGGCCCAGAACAACATACTTAGGGAACCTAAACAAATGGGTAACAGGGAAAAATCAGGGAAACATAGCTTTTCTGAAAGCATCCGAGCAAAGAAATGAATGGAAAATCATGATCGCCGATGTCTGTCGCAGATCTGGCACTGGATGATGATGATGATATACTTTTTTAATAACTTTGCAATTTTTCATCCAATCGTCATAAAATTTTGCAGAATGAAGAGAAGATGTAAACCCCAAAAAATTGTCTCTTGAATTTCCATTACATGGAATAAATTTTCAATGGTGGTGTCTTGAGTGTGAACTTTCACTGATTTTTAGCAGTCTTGAATTACTTACTTACTACCCATTACGCCATCTGGCGTTTAGGGCAGCAACAAAGGATCTCCAGCTCTGTCAGTTTTGGGCCATCTTGGTCAGCATTCCCCATGAATGATTCCAGGACTTCATTTCAGACTCTACTGTGCGTCTCCAGGTTACTTTGGGTCTGCCCCTTTTGCGACGTCCTTCGGGTGTCCAGTGGAGGGCAGTCTTCACAATAGAGTGGTTCTCTTCTCAGAACATGTCCAATCCATCTCCATCCTCTCCTTTCTATTATGGTGGTCATGTCCTCTTGCTTACATTTACGTAACAGATCTGCGTTGGAAATCTTGTCGGGCCAGAAGATTCTGAGGATTTGGCGTAAGCTGGTTGTATGAAAGGAAGATAGCTTGGCACGGTCATGTTCAGTCATCCTCCAGCATTCAGCTCCGTATAGGAGTGTGGATAGTACACAGCTGTTATACAGCTTTAACTTGGTTTGTATACTAAACTGTCCTGACTTCCAGATGTTGATCATGCTTCTGTGTACAGATCTTGCCTTGCTGAGTCTGTTCATGATGTCTTCCTTTGTGCCGCCGTCAGTTTTGATTATGCTGCCTAGGTAGGTAAATGTATCTGTTATAGGGAGGTCTGTGTTGTTCACCCTAATCAGCGTTGGGGAGCCTAAATTCAGTGTCATCACTTCTGTCTTCTTCTGGCTTATTCTTAACGCAAGTTGGCGTCCGTATTTGTGGAGTCGGTTTGTTTTTTCCTGCATGTGCTGGTTGGTATGGGAGAGTAGTGCAAGGTCGTCGGCAAAGTCAAGATCCTCGAGGGTGGAGAAGAGGGTCCACCTTATGCCTCTAGATGTATCCTCATGACCCAGTCAATGACCAGGTTGAACAGAATTGCTGACATGGTGCATCCTTGTCTAACTCCTGTCTTACCTCAAAAGCAGTGGTACTGTTTCCAACAATGCACTTGAAGTTTTCGTAGAAGCTCTTGATGACCTCTACTATCTTGCAAGGGATTCCATAAGATCGTAGAATGTACCAAAGACTTTCTCTATGCACACTGTCGAATGAAAGTTGTCTCTGCCATTCCGTGCACTGTTCTATTATGTTGCGGAGGGCAAATATGTGGTCTGTGCATATCCGACATCTGGTTAATAATAATCTTGGCCAGGATCTTGCTGGGAACTAATAGCAACGTGATACCTCTCCAGTTGTTGCAGTCTCTAAGAGCTCCTTTCTTTGGTACTTTAACAATGACTCCAGTGCTCCAGTCCTCGGGAATCTGCTCTCCCTCCCATATGGTTTTGAATAGTGGATGAAGAATGGTGGCATTCAGTTCTGGGTCTACTTTAAACAGTTCAGCATTCAGGTTGTCCATTCCTGGAGATTTTCTTGTTTTCATGCTCTTAACAGCTTTTACAATCTCGTGTTTCTGTGGTGGGTCAGAGCTGATATCCAGATCCAAGGTAGCTTCCTGCATGTCTGGGGTGTCCTCAGGTAGAGGTTGGTTTAGGACTTCCCTGAAGTGTTCTGCCCAGCATGCTTCCTGTTCCTTCTCGATTGTCAGCAGCTTGCCAACCTCGTCTTTGATTGGTCCACTCATTCCACCGTGGTACCTGCCACATATTA